TTGGAGGTGGGCGGCCACCAGTAAGTTTTTAGATTAGATTAGATTTTTTATTCAGGTAAAGGTACATACCTTGAAGATGAGTTACAAACATAATGTTAGATTTCAGGATAGAGCTAGTACATACAATACCTAAAGCCACTAGTACGCACAGCGTTTCGGGGTGATGAGTTGCTTTCAGTTGGTGATGAGGTGGGCGGCCACCAGTAAGTTGGTGATGAGGTAGGCGGCCACCAGTAAGTTGCTGATGAGGTGGGCGGCCACCAGTAAGTTGCTGATGAGGTGGGCGGCCACCAGTAAGTTGCTGATGAGGTGGGCGGCCACCAGTAAGTTGCTGATGAGGTGGAAAGCTGGCGAGAAGGACGTACAAACAAAATACAATCGTATTTCAGTGGGAAAAGTAAACAAACACTCTCACTTGATTCTTATCAACGTTTCTTCTTCTAATTAATGGATATAGTAACAAAAAAAAGTCTCATTACATTACAGATGTAGAGAACATTCCAGATGTTACGGACGGGGCCCGCCAAGTGTATCAGGTTGATAGCCCGGGTTATTCTCGATGAAGGAGGAGGGGGCCAATTCAGGTCGGTTCGTATCCACAGAGTTCACTCCAAAAGGATTCGAGTGGTATGCTGCGGCCTGCGTGATTGTGGGCTCCGGATGATAAGCAGGCAAGACGGCGGGGTTCAGTGTTTCCGGAATAGCGATACTTGAGGGCGCAGCGGCGCCAACCTCCACGGGGGGCGTAATATTTGGAAGAAAGGGCACGGGCCGACTTCTCATGCCTACGATAGAGAAGTACGCGTCAAGGCCGTAGACGACCGTGAGGAAGAGGCAGAATACGCCGCTCGCAATCCAGGCAGGAGACGATGTGGACATTAGCAGGATGGAGGAGATAAAGAGCCCCAAGCCATAGTATGCGTAGAGAGCAGCCTCCTGTATGGGTCAGAGATAGAATTATACACCTGTCTCTCTCTCTCACACACACACATCTCCTCCACTCCACATCTGCACCACACACCTGTACACCACACCTGCACCACATCTCTTGTACGCCACACCTGCACCACATCTCTTGTACGCCACACCTGCACCACATCTCTTGTACGCCACACCTGTACCACACATCTTGTACGCCACACCTGCACCACACATGTTGTACACCATACCTGCACCACACATCTTGTACGCCACACCTGCATCACACATTTTGTACGCCACACCTGCACCACACATCTTGTACACCACACCTGCACCACACATCTTGTACGCCACACCTGTACCACACATCTTGTACGCCACACCTGCACGACACATCTTGTACCCCACACCTGCACCACACATTTTGTACGTCACACCTGCACCACACACTTCCTGTATATCACACCTTCTTGGACACCACACCTGAACCACACACATGTACACTACACCTGCACCCCACACCTGTACACTACACCTGTACCACACACATTCAGCACCACATTTAGGCTTACAGGTTCCAGAAGATGAGAGGAAATGTCAACACTGTGGAGAAGTGCCCGACAGAATACTGGAACATTATCTAACACAGTGAACAGTTACAAACACAATTAGATTTCAACTAAGATTCAAGAGAGCCGCCCTCTGCAATAGGGTATCTTCAGACCACCAAGTTAGACAGGTTAAATGTCCCGAAAGGAATCCACAGGGATGTAACGGTTCTATTGTTACGTAAAGTATGGTGACAAATAAACACAGACACTATATATATATTTGGTCGAATATACAGAAGTACACAGGTGATACTTTGGTGTGAGTTGAGCGCACTGAGCGTCGGTACAGTATCTCGCAAGTGTCTGCACTAGACCACACTTGAAAGTAGACTCTGGTTAATGTTTGCTATCCTGCTGCTTATATGCCCGGGCAACTCCTCACCGTATTGCCCGGGCAACGCCTCACCTCATTCATCTCCAAAGGTTGACAGGAATATTAACAATGCATTTGGAGCGAGTATATTATTGGATAATCTACTCGCTACAGGGAAATAACAGTTCGGTTATATATACTTCGTCTAGGTTATAGATGTAACTGGGAGATTAGTGAACCTAGAGAGTGGGAATGCATCTTCTGCCAATCACAGAAAAGCCATTACTTCACTATCTCCTGGAATGTGGAGCAACCAAGGACCTTGGAAGAGCTTTAAGAGTCGCTGAATCTTGCAGTCACCACCCTGAAGCCATCAACATTGCCACTCTTCTGGTAATGATAAGTGTCCAGCAGCTGAACACCCTCATAAACACTGTCAAGCAGTATCCTTCCCCCCCGCGATAGCAGCCACATAGTAAGGACTGACGATTTAAATGTGAGCACAGCGCGCAGTATATCCTTCATTCCCCAAAAATCTACCACTTACGGGATATTCATGCCCGTGCCACCTCTTGGGCGACTTAATCTTCATCAATCAAAGCAATCATCAAGAGAGCGAAAGAAGTTGTTAAACACATTGGGCATAATCTTCCTGAAGCGAACATACGAGTCATACATACTCATATTCCGCCTAAGTAAAACAGACACAAGGAACAAGTAAACACTTACAGGACCAACCAAAGGCTTAGGGCCCGCGCAGGAATATCCCTGCAAAAAAACAAAAGAAAAGCCCCACATTCGCACTACACGCCCTCACCTGCCCCCCCATGCTTCGCTGTAGACAAACACCAGTGTGGGGCGCGCCATAGAGGAGCTGAACTACGGAGTCAATGCCAGATATTTATTTATCATAACTGTTTATCATATCTGTAAAATATGCCATAATTAACTGCTAGGTTTAAAATAAGAACGAATATATAGAAAACAAAGAGGTTAACGAAAATAAAACACACACAAACCAAGGGAAAACAAGTGAGGATAAAAGCAAAGATAGCATAAGCTAATGATAAAAGATAAGAAGGGGGTGGGATTTCCTTATCATCTTCCCTCTTCCTCTTTCCCCGATAATTCCCTCAGTCCTTCCCCTCCTTGCGGCAGAGTGAACAAAGGTAGGCACCAGCGTGCTATCCACCAGGCTACCAGGCCCCCGTGTGTGAGTGTGTGTGTGCAAGAGAGAAATAAATGCAGTAGGTATGATAGAGGGAAAAGAGTCAGTACATTAGGCAACCGACCGCTAGAAAGGCGGGGTCCAAGAGCTAACAGCTCTCTCTCTCTCTCTCTCTCTCTCTCTCTCTCTCTCTCTCTCTCTGTCTCTCTGTCTCTCTGTCTCTCTCTCTCTCTCTCTCTCTCTCTCTCTCTCTCTCTCTCTCTCTCTCTCTCTCTCTCTCTCTCTCTCTCTCTCTCTCTCTCTCTCTCTCTCTCTCTCTCTCTCTCTCTCTCTCTCTCTCTCTCTCTCTCTCTCTCTCTCTCTCTCTCTCTCTCTCTCTCTCTCTCTCTCTCTCTCTCTCTCTCTCTCTCTATCTCTCTCTCTCCCTCTCTCTATCTCTCTCTCTCTCTCTCTCTCTCTCTCTCTCTCTCTCTCTCTCTCTCTCTCTCTCTCTCTCTCTCTCTCTCTCTCTCTCTCTCTCTCTCTCTCTCTCTCTCCCCCCCCTTCGTGTGTCTAGCACGTACCAAGGGGGTCCGCTGGATCTCTGTATACCCCATGAGGTAGACCGCCAGCAGGGCGATGGTGTTGATGAAGGACCCAGGATGATGCTGCACGCGTACAGGCCCCACCCTTTCAGTAGGCTGAAGAATGTTGCTATGATGATGATCAGCAGCACCTGCAACATGGTCACTTACACAGGCACGGTCACTCGTAAGGTCACTCACATGGTCACTTACACAGGCACGGTCACTCACGTGGTCACTTACACAGGCACGGTCACTCGTAAGGCCACTCACATGGTCACTTACACAGGCACGGTCACTCACGTGGTCATCGAGGGAGACGTTCCACAGTAAAAATATAGATATGTATCATAACTGTTAAGCATTATCAAAACTAATATTGATCTTAAATTCATACAATAATTTCTTTCACTTGGACACTAGGAACCTCCAGCAGCCGATCACTTGGGGCCTTGTGGCTGAGTGGACAGCGCTCGGGGTGGGAGGGGGGGTGTCGTAGTCCTAAGGGCCCAGGTTAGATTCCCTGCAGAGGCAGAAATAAATACGCAGTTTCTTTCACCCTGATGCCCCTGTTAACCTAGCAGTAAATATGCATCTGGGAGTTAAAGAGAGCTGCTACGGGCTGCTTCCTGGGTGTGTGTGGTCGTAATCATTTCTAGGACGTGGATCACCTAACACCTTCATGCCAAAGTGGCACCCTACGGGGAAGGTCTTAGGTTTCAGTTGTGTGGCAGATAGGAGCCTCTGGAGTCCTTCCCTATGAAGGGGTGTTGGTGGCTCAGTAAGTAGGTAGAGCCGCTTGCTATACTGTCTATGTGATTAGCGGTCCGAGGCTCCAATTGTCTAGGTGAAAGAAATGTTATTATCCACGATATGATGGTTAGCAATTTATCTAAAAAATTATTTAAGCCAAAGAGAAGATTCAATCATAAAATAAAAATATCATTAATAAGCATCAGTCACAGATGATAATAACAGGAATCAAACATAAATATTTAAAACAAATACCCATTACAAATATTATATATAAATACATATATAAAAAAATCTGAAGCACAAATACGAACCGACAGACCAGAAGATGAGAGGATTTATCAGCACTGTGGAATAATACCCGATAGACCACAGGAACATTATATAACAGTGCACAATTATAAACCCAATAAGATTTCAACTAAGATTCAAGAGAGCAAACGTTGTTAAGCACATTAAGCAAAATCTTACTGAAGCGACCATACGAGTCATAAATACTAATACCCCGCCTAAGTAAAACAGAAAAAAAAGAAATAAGTTACACTTAGTGGGCCAGCCAGAGGCTTAGGGCCTGCGCAGGAATATCCCTGAAAAAAAAACAGACAGACAATACTTACTATCTCGACCACCTTGAGCAGGATGGTGGGCTGTCTGAGGCTGTTGATGTCTACCATTGTAGTGCTTTGTGGTGGGGATCAGCGGTATGAGGCAAGTGTTGACAGAATACTTAATCCCAGCCTTGATCTACCTCTTGATAAGGAAGGTGTCACGCTGGATCCCTGATGGTCTGGGCGAGGCTACCAAGCCAACCACCTTAGCGGGAGATATACCCCACCACACGGCCTGGGGGATCACTAAACACTGGCCCTGAAATTAAATTGTGATTTTAAATGTAATGAATGTATTTCAGTGACAAAGTTTTGACGTGGCATTCAAAATTCAAGGATGCCTCTTCAGGGTTATATTTAAAGCGACTCATATTTTTTTATTTTCTGTCCGAAACGCTATGCGTGTTAGTGGTTTTGCAAGAATGCAAAAATATCACTTTAAATGTAATCTTACCAACACATTATACCTTCTTGTAAATAAAATATTATTATTATTATTATTATTAATTTAATGGAAAAGTAATTGAACGCTGAATATGAAAGCAAATTGATGCAATGTGATCAAAGGCAATTCAAGTGCGAGTGGATGCACGTGAACTCCAGGGGTAGTAATTAATATGAGTATACTTACCTAATTATGAGTTGGGGCTGAGTTTCAGCTCTAGTGTCCCACTTTTCTACTTTCATTCGGCTGGTGTATAAGTTCCCGAACACACTTTGAGCATCATGTAGCTAGCTTTTTGACACACTGTACTCCCCTTCATATAGTCTAGGGTAGCTGCACAAATCCAGATGTACCTAATATATTAATAATAAAAAAAATAAGTTCCCGAACACTTTGGGCTTGTTGACATTTACATTTGAATCCGTGCATGGAGTCTGCATCCACCGTTTCACTCCCTTGATCCTAATACTCTTTTTACAACTCTGGCATTGAAGGTGTTTCTAATACTACAATGGCTTATTCAGTTACTTAGTTTCTACCTGTCATCTTGTTAGTGTTTCTCAAAGTTCAAATAAAATGTCGCTATATTTTCCCCTGCTAATTCTAAAGAATATTTTGCATGTGTTGATCACGTCCTCACTGGGATTTTTTTTCACTCTTCCAGGTACTGGAGAATTAATTCCCCTTTTCATTTGTAATTTGTGCCTCTCAAGCCTGGTGGTATGCCGCTGGACTTTATTTACCTAATTTTAAGTTTGATGAAATATAGATTACCCTTTGGCTCTGCATATTTCAGAATTGGTCAGATATGTGTGGTACAGAGTCATAAATTGCTGCTTGTTCATATTTAAGAAAGCAACCCCTTTATGTTGGACAACCTTGCGTATCAGCATTTACTGCCTGATTTAATGTTCACACAACACTTAAAACAAATTTGTTAGACATTTTCTTATGAAGACCCCACTGATAAAACAAAACTTATGATTATGTTAGATTCTTCTAAATATGACCAGTTTAAAGAGAATCAGGACACTGAATACCTTCGAATGTGTCTTCCAAGAACCTGAAAACTCGATGTTATTTGGGAAATATTGCTATTGAGATGTGACTGGGGTATAAAATTTGTCACTGCAAAGACAAATTTTCTCCTGTATATTTTATATATATTTCAGACATTTAATATATAGTTATTATCAATTATAATAATATAATATTATTATAATTCACGTAATTTCTGTATCATGTATAACATGGTATTGTAAGTCACAGGAAAGAATATGAATAGATCTACTCCACTGACGAAACGCGGTCACGTGATTTTTATCAGCTTATCCTAAAATTATTTGGTCAAGCGTTTCACGAATATTTGGGTCCACGAATATGTATTCGTGGACCCAAAAATGTTCCGTTTTGTGTGAACGAATTAGCACAAATACCATTCCAGCCATCTGAAAATATAACTAAAGAACTTAACCTAACCTGTCCAAGCAATCCTAGCCCTAATATGTGCTATCTTAGGCCTGATATATTGTTTACACACTGTTGTGGGAGGCAGCGCATGCGCACACCCTAATCCCTAGAGGGTGTTTAGCGCTACCAAATAAGAACTTGGATGCCATCTTGGAGTTCTAGATTTGTTCTGGGTCTTCCCAAAACACCCGTATCGGTCTTTTCCCCACACACGTCCTCCCCATTTTCCCCAATCTATTTATGTGCTTGATTGTTCGATAAATCACTGAACTATATGTTTAACAGCTCTCTAACCCTGTCCACGGAGGATAGAAGAAAATGTACATTTGCTGGTTAGCATTGTAAATGTGTGGCCACGTCTGTGATAGAAAATAATAATAATAAAAAAGTCTATGTCTTGGGACTCAAAGCGAATAAGACAGATGTGAACAACTAGGCTGCCAGTCCATGTCTTGGGAAACAAAACAAATGACATATAAACAAGGGAATCAAAACAAATGTCATGTAAACAACTAGGCTGCCAGTCTGTGTCTTGGGAATCAAAACAAACAATATGTAAACAAGGGGAACAAAACAAACGATATGTAAACAACTCGGCTGCCAATGGGTACTATGCACCTCAGGAGGGTATGAGCCTCCCACCCACCAAGCTGAGGCTTCAGACTCTGACGTCCAGTCAATATGAGCGTCAATAGTGTTAATTAATAGACGTGCGAAGCAGTACTCACAAGACTACGACAGTTTAAGGCAGGGAGCAGAGGGTCCCGGGGGCGCGGAGGGCGTCTAGAGCCTCGGGTGGAAGGTAGAGGTGTTGCTGTACTAGTCACCGGCACCAACAATGGAGGGAAGGAGGAGGTGATGTCACAGATAACAGCTGATACTGAGATTAATGATAAAAGAGTGTGCCCCCCAGATTGGTGAAATTTCTGGTGGTTAAATTACGGATTTGAATTCGTATATGCATTTGAATTTTGTTTCAGAGATATTAGGGTGATAGATAGGTTGTGTGTGTGTGTGTGTGTAAGTGTTCAATAGACAGTTGGAGATAGTTGCTCAAGTGATACACATCTGGCAATAGGGTCCCGGCATGCAAGCCTGTCTCATGCACCAGCACGCACCCGTACCGCCCCTCTGTCCTTCCCTCCTATTCTTATTCCTCTTGTCTATATTTTCCTCCTCCTCCTCCCCTTATTTATCTTATCTTATATTTCGCCCTCTTCAGTACTCGTGATCTCCCTTCTTTCTATTTATCGTCCATACCCCCTTAGGACGCCGCTCACGTTCACTTCCCATTCTCCATAAAATAGATAAAGCAACCAAGTGCAGTTTTAGGGACATTACAGACGGCCTATTACCCCCATTCGAGGCAGCTCCTATTTATATCCAACCAAACTACTTTCATAAGTATGTCTTACTACACTTGAAACAATTATAAGTGATCTCACGTCTATTGTTACACAGTAATCCGTACCACTTGTATGCTGCTTTAGGAAAGGTTTTATTCGATGTGTAGTGCAGTGGCTACGTTCTCTAGTCACAATCGATGATCTCCAGGCGGAACAGAAAGGGTTGGGCACGTTTCCTTTCACCTAATACACATATATATATTATATATTATATATATATAATATATAATATATATAATATATATATATATATTATATATATATATATATATATATAATATATATATATATAATATATATATATATATATATATATATATATATATATATATATATATATATATATATATATATATATATATATATATATATATATATATATATAATTTTTTTTGTTTTCTCCGGATATCTCAAGTGGTAATTATGGGTACCCGGGAGTTACTGAACTGTTGTGGGTGGTATTCTGAACAGTTTCATTCAAAACTTTTACAAACATTCCTTGTCAATAAGTTTGCAAAAATGTTTTATTCCTAACCCACATACATCATACACTTCAGTGTATTACTGAGTATTTTTGTTACTTGAAACAAATTGTAATGGTTTCAAACCCAATTATTCCTACTGTGCAGTGAAAAAATATTGTTCTTTTGATGGGCAGTTCAAATTAAAGATATATCTGCAGATCTGATATGATTTAATTTATAAAACATCTGTTTAGATTTTGTGTCACCCTAGAAAGTATTGAATGATATAGTGCATATCATACACTGCATGATATACAATTGTATAATATAGTGTATATCATACACCCTCACCTTAATGTGTTGTATAGTGTATGCTGTATACCATACACCACTAAATCTCCTCTGTATTAGTGCCACATATTCCAGGGGAAAATAAAAAGCCAGAAATGATTCAATATACATATAATGTACACATAGTCTCTGTACACCAGAGCAGAGAGGTAAGTACAACACTTTGCATAGCGTTCTGAGATTTCTTCAAAAGACTCAGCAAATATTATATTAACCGAACTAAATACATAAGTACAGTACTTTCCATATAAAAATATAATACAAATACACGCAATAGAGTTTAATATTGAATGTAAGATTCTTCTATCTGATATCAACATTGACTAAACATGTAAAAACAGATTAAGAATCATTAGCAAAAATGATTCAGTTATAATTATTCAATGATAATTGAATAATTTGATACAAATTGTGTAATTCGTTTCATAGTGTAGGTTAATTGTGCTACTTATTAATGTTCTAAGTATTTACAAGGAATGATAGAGAGTCAGACATGAGGCTGGCTTCTGTTACTGGCTTTGTTCAGGTATATGGTGCTAGAATATGATGGTGAGGCAGAATATGACTGTATAACTGGTGAAATACCTTCTGAGTACACGAGGACTGGTACTCGTACCAATGTATAATTGGTAAAGTACCTCAGAGTACACAAGGACTGGTATTAGTACCACTGTATAATTGGTGAAGTACCTCCAGAGTACACAAGGACTGGTATGCGTACCACTGTGTAACAGGTGAAGTACCTCCATAGTACACGAGGACTTGTACATTTATCCAGTCCACTGTGCGACATTTACTATTCTTTCTCATGATTCAGAAATATCTAACACAAACCTCTATAGCACACGAGATTCGAGTCCCAATATTTTAAAAGCCAAAATGAGGAAGCATTCCTACAGTATGTGTGAGTGTGTAACATGTTTCCCAGCGATAGTTACTGACGTGCGATGGGACACATGCTTTCAGAAGCAGTAATGAGCCGAGGAGTCATGAGCCACAATCCTTCCCGCCAAACGGGAGGACTATGAGACCTCCCGTTTGACGGAAGAAAGTATTACTTGTTTTGCGACGGGTCTAATGTATGCCAGTTTCCATGAGTTGGGAAAACAGTGGTGATTGGGAATGGGGCACATCCCCAATCACCACTGCTTGCTTCATGAATGGTACTTGCTCACTCATTAGCAAGCAGTGTGAAGCTTGCTCGTGAATGGTACTCATTCTTGTACAAACGCATCCAAACCTCACGACATAAAAATGTAAATTCCTAACCTATTTTTTTGTAGGATGGACATTAAGCAGCCTCTTTAGGAATTGCGTTGTGGACATGAGAGAGATTTCCTAACAAAAAAGGAGAAAACAAAAATGCGAGAGAGTTGATCTGTAGGAACAAATAATGAAACCAAAGAATGGCATCTAACTCCACATTCAATCGTAGATATATCAATTTTTTTTATTTCACTGAGATTTGTATATTTTAGGGGAATAATCTTTTAATGAAAATGTTGCAGTGAAAATTATAACGTGTGGTCAAGCAGTATTATACAAGTTTCTCATTTTAAAAGTTACTACAAACAGGTTTGGAAAATTATAAGGAAAAAGCGCTAATTCAGTATGACTATATATCACTTGAAAGAGATAAGAGGACTGGATAGGTGCTAGGAATGTGAGGACAGGATAGGTGCTGGGGTATGAAGACAGGATAGGAGCTGGGATATGAAGATGGGATAGGAGCTTGGATATGAGGACAGGATAAGAGTTGGGATATGAAGACAGGATAGATAATGGGAATGTGAGGACAGGATAAGAGCTGGGATATGAGGACAGGAAAAGAGCTGGACTATGAGGACAGTATAAGAGCTGAGATATGAGGACAGGATAAGAGCTGGGATATAAGGACAGGATAAGAGCTGGACTATAAGGACAGGATAAGAGCTGAGATATAAGGATAGGATAAGAGCTGGGATATGAGGACAGGATAAGAGCTGGAGTATGAGGACAGGATAAGAGCTGAGATATGAGGATAGGATAAGAGCTGGGATATGAGAAAGGAGTGAAGGAACGGTGCCCATCCAACTGGACCATCTGGGATCGAACGGCGACCTGCAAAAAGCGGTCGAGTCCACAAAATGGCTATTTCCCCCCCGCCATCCACCACTACACAGTGGCAGGCTTCCTCCCCTCCCCTGCCTTCCCCACTACACAGTGGGCAGCAGCAAATTACAACCCCAGTAATCTTATGGGCGAGAAGGTCCTAACATTTCCAGAGTGACTCGAAATGTTTTCAAATAAACAGAATAGCAAGAAAAATAAGTAACTTTCCATACTCTTTCCTAGTACATATGTAATTCTTAAGTAGATGCAGCCTCACTTACACGATGATATGATACAAAAGCTTTCACTTTTGTGTTATCAACATAATTGGTCGTACAGCAGAGACAGACAACTGAATACATGAAACAATTGAGATAATATTTTGTCTAAAATAAATAATAAAAGCTAATAATATCTAGACTATCAGAAAATGAATAAAGAAGTATCATACACAAAGTCAAGATAATAATTGGAAACTCTACAGTTTGGATATAATCCTCTGAGAGGTATTTGATTCCAGTGGGTGTCGTCCAACATACAGATCAACACTGTATCTTCAGCACCACAACACTTCTCTGTCAACCGGATGTCTTTGGAGTCATGACTGCTTGCTTAGGTAGTCAGAGGCATAGTGCTGTGTAAGACGCTTGTGACTCATTTTAAAGACATTTTTCTTGGTGCCGTGAGCGCATTGGTTGCCACTCATTGTCATAGAGTGGCATGACATTCGCAGTTCTGATAAAATATTGAAACTGTATAATGGGATTGAATCCACGTTCCTGGACTCCCCACGATTCGATCCCATTCAATGACCTCAATATTTTTTCATATATACGCCACGTTCTTGTAATCTCCGTGTGGAGTTTTATTTATCTGAAGACATTTTTCCTTCCGCTGGAAACACCACTTCCTCTTTTTCAGAAAAGTCGTTTCATTATTGATTTTCACGAACACATCCGAGGTGATGGCTGCCTTCGCCGGCATGCTTAACTTAAAACAATAACTAAACATTATTGTGACAGAATGTACATTCAGGGGTACCTTTGAATAGCAAATATATATTTTTAGACGGCATCTGGAATTTAAGATTAAAGATCACCAATACTCGATAGTAATGTGCATCCAGACAGCCTTTCGCTTTCCGGAAATATTCCCTTCATACGGCTCCTCTGCTCTCGACGTCGACCTCTCTGGCTCCCTTGGATTCCATGGAATTGTGTAGAGGATCCTTAACTTCAATGTCCGCATCATTTTCCTCCTTGATGTGGGATGACCTACGAAGGATAGTCTTGCAGAAGAACTCCTTGCCCTGGAGAATAAGCGATCTCTGGAACAAGACCCACGACTGCGGGGCGATCAGCTTCTCCTCCACGTCAGTGGGCTTGTTGAAGCCTGCCAGGGGGTACATTACAAGTCAGACGCCATACATATTAAAAATCTAAAATTACAACAATCATTATGAATTATTTTTCTTATTATTATTCAAAGGAATATAAGCATTTATAATATTGCTGCTGGTATTAATATGACGTGAGAAGGCAGGTGAGAGTATGAGAAACCGATCTAGTGGGCAAGTAGGCATGTTATGATCTGGGTAAAGGAGGGGGAGACTCAAGGTGAATGCAAAAAGAAACCTACAAAGTCTAGGGAAGATGGTGCAGGATGCATGAAGAATGTTTCACTTCTGGGAGAAGTGTATAGAGTGTATGGAGCGAGTTAACGTAAGGGAAGATGCGCTAGAGCAAGGAGCAGCGTGGTGGGCTGGGAAGACCTTGTAGAGTGTGTTACAAGGTCATGGTCTGGAAGTAGTGCAGTCACTCAGGTATTGGGAGCAGCAGTGACTGAAGAAGTAGGAGTAGCAGTGGCTAAAGAAATAGGAGTAGCAGCGACTGAAGAAGGAGTAGCAGTTACTGAAGAAGAAGCAGTACAAGTGACTAAAGACGTATAGCAGTAAGAGTGACTGAAGACATATATCAGTAAGAGTGACTAAATACGTATATCAGTAAGAGTGACTGAAGACATATAGCGGTGAGAGTGAAGGTAGTGAAGAAGGAGTGGGAAGGCTGGAGCAGACGTACCAGTAACAGCAGTGACGATGAGGGCCACGATGATACACAGGAGCGTCCCCCACAGGGAGTTGAGGCAGTAAGAGAGCCCGTAGAGCGGGTGAGCCCTGCAACAAGCATCAACACCACACAGTTAAACCATCAGTAATAATCAAGGCAGAGAGCTATCCAGCACCTGCTGCTATGCCAGTCAATGTGGGGCATTACAACTGCTCAATAACAAAGTTGTAAGCACAACCACGAGCTGAAAATGAATTTTTTTTAACAAATGGGAAAAATCGCATATGACGATTTGAGCAGTCTAAGGGTTAGCATATTTAAGTATAGAGTCGTCATACTAAGTTTTTCTAGCTTAAGAACATTATATGGTATGATAATATTCCTTTCACTTACAAATAATTGTCATATTTTCTGCTCTTTGCTATCGTCCCTTTCAACCATTCTCTCTTTTATCATCTCTTCTTTTTTCCACTTTGAGTTCTACCGTTCTTCTCACCATATTACAGTTTATACTGTCACACAACACACACACTTTGGGGGGCTGGCTGGCTGAGTTGACAGCGCACTAGACTCGTGGACCTAGGAACCGGGGTTCGATCTGGCAGCCGGCGGAAAAACAAATGGGTAGAGTTCCCTTCACCCTGATGCCCCTGTTACCTAGCAGTAAATAGGTACCTGGGAGTTAGACAGCTGCTACGGGCTGCTTCCTGGGAGTGGGTGTGTGTTTGTGTGAAAAAAAATAGTTAGTAGGTAGTAACAGTTGATTGATTGACAGTTGAGAGGCAGGCTGAAAGAGCAGAGCTCAACCCCCACAAGCACAACTTGGTGAATACAACTAGGTGAATACACACACACACACACACACACAGTTACCAACATTTACATCCTAAGTACAAACACAATTTCGCTCACAGTGTCTCTTCACTACGTAAGATCTCCAATACTAATATAGCCGAGCCTCTGGGACCACAGGAAGCCGCAAGAACCCAAGATCTCTTGAATAGTTCATTTATGTTTTGACTTTCATAACAAATCATAAGATAGTAATCATGTGGTTTTTTTATTCTGTTCTTGAAAAATTACTGGAGACGTGATGAAGTGGTCAGCGGCCTCACTCGCTCACCCGGCAAGGGAGAACAACCCAAATTCAAGTCTTGGGTTAAACGGGACTTTTAATCACAGTTTCTCCACTGTTCGCTCCTTTTCATCCAGCAGTAACTGCGGACCTGGTTGTAAAGTAATGAATAGTCTGTACTTGGGAGGGGGAAACAGATGACTAAGGCTTAAGATTAACTGCGGGAAGGAAAGTCTGCTAACAAAAGTCAGAAGACTTCAGTTCTTATTCCTTTTAGTACTTGAAAAGCTTACCTAAAATAATGAACCAAAACAATTATCGCCATAGAAAGGCGCCCAGGAGCTTAAGCTCTATTAAATCTATGACCTTCGTTACGGTCAACTGAGTAATCCATGCAATATTGAGTTCAAAACTGCATAAACTTTCTACTTCATGCAATCCATCTTCATATTACAAAACAGGACTTCAGAGATCTTCATTATTGTAGCCACAACCTTACCAAAGATTGTGGCTTTGTATAATGTATATCTAGGTTAAAAAATTAATCTAGTTATACATTTCCGGCAGATATCTTGAGCACAGAACCTGCAAACTGACTCTCAACTGATAAACGTTTTAAGCTGTTAGTTCAAGGTGAGACTCGCATCCCGTGTTACTGACCTGGCACACTCTTTAATAGTTACTCATTTGCCAATGTAACCAAAAACACCTAACCTAACCTAACCTAACTTAACCTAACTTAACCTAACCTAACCTAACCTAACCTAACCTAACCTAGGGCTAACTATGCACTAAACCATACCATTAATAATATTAATTGGTACAGATATTTGTTTTTTTTTATTTTTTTCACCGAATAACAAAAACAATAGCATGTGGCTCTGGGGATGGCCCGGACAAGGTCGAGGATGGTCCGAAGATGGCCCAAGTATGGCTCAAGGATGACCCTAGGAAACCTGGAGGATGGCTATAAGGATGGCCTGGGGATAGCTTTGCTGGCTAATAAGATGCACGACACCACTTAGTTAATCGTCTTCTCGTCACCTCTCTCTCTCTCTTACTCCTCCCATATTATATTATTACTTATTCTCTCATGCCATCTTCTCTTCCATATTATCTCGTTTCTCGCATCTTCTTATAGTATGACTTTATTGCCTTTTTTCACTGTCTCATCTTTCCTACGGTATATCCTTACTTATCCATATATTTATCTTCCCCCATATTTCCTTGCTGTTTCCTCTATTATATCATTACTTTTTCCCGTTTTACTACAAACCTTTTTCCATGATTTGATTATTTTACTATTTTTTACTTTTCGCACACTATAGCGTTATTTTCTCTTATTGTATCTTTTTTCACATACTACGTCCTTTCTACTCCCAGATTATGTTCTAACATTCCATATTATATACTACCAACATTTTCATGTTAAATTATTATACGTTTCTGAAATTATAGCCATTTTTCTCATGATATATCATTACTATTCCCATGATATATCATTGCTATACCTTATCCTCGGTATAAGCCTAACATATACTGTATGTCTAACCTGGCTTCCTGACCCCTGACAAAACGAATTATTATTATTATTATTATATAATGATATGATGCTATAATATTTTCAATATTATATCATTATATTCTTACTTTCCCTAATTATACCATTAAATTTTGTCCTCCTATATCCTTCCTTCTTCCCTTATCACATGCCAGCTTTTATTTCCCACCACAACATACTAAATTATTAATTTAATACATAATTAAATTATTAATTATTATATCTTTGCTTTCCCCACATATCGAGACCTTCCCGGGATCATATTCTCAGTGTTCTCATCTTGAGTCGTGCCTCCTGCCGTCTGAGTCTCGTGTGCTGACGTCTTAATCACTCTCAGCATCAGTCTTCCCGTCTTTATTTTATCACATTTCAAGATCTGCATCTCCCTCAAGCATCACCTATATATGGAGGCTGGTTCTCTATCGAGTTCTATATCGTTATATATCGAGTTCTCTGTAAAAGTGTTCCCGTATATGCATCCACTGGACTAATGTTTCCAAACATTTATATTTCGTACACGCATCCACTGGACTAATGTCTCCAAACATTTATATTTCGTACACGCATCCACTGAACTAATGTCTCCAAACATTTATATTTCGTACACGCATCCACTGGACTAATGTCTCCAAACATTTATATTTCGTACACGCATCCACTGGACTAATGTCTCCAAACATTTATATTTCGTACACGCATCCACTGAACTAATGTCTCCAAACCATTTTCTCCCGTACTGTATACTAAGGCTTTTCGGGTTCCGGAAATATGCCACCGACGACGGAGAACATACGTACGTGTCAGATGGCTGGATTGACTCTGGTGCCAGGGTTGAGTTTAGCGCCAAGGTGCTCATGAGTGAAGGACCAGCGGGGGTGGTAATGGTAATGGGAGTGGTGGAGGTAGTGGTGGTGGTGAGGTTGAACGGAAGGGCCACCGTCGTGTTGGCTACTGGACACCCGGCTCGAGACAGTGGCAAGAAGTCCGTCTTGGGCTGAGTGAGCTGGCCAATGGCAATCCAGACGCTGAGAAAGATGGATACGGCAAAACCTGCAGAGGCTCCCTGAAAAAATGGTTTGTAATTAGTACATCATGCTACACATGGAGGCAGAGGGTATAGCAACATACATGTTATCTGTATTGTCTATGGCTTCTCTATCTGTAAACACGCCCCCCACACCCTCCCTCCCTTCCCCTTCCCTCCTCCCTGCCCACCCTTCCCGTGGCACACCATGCATGCATCCCAGCACCCTGTGAGCCCATATTAATTAATCTCACAGCACAACAACTCCATCCATGAAACCCATCCCACATAATAACTTCTTACATCAGTGGAACAGCCAGCAAGAGGGAGAGAAGAAAGTGAGTTTCATAGTATTGTTCACAAACATAGATGGGATTACAAATAAAACAAGTGAATTTGGGGAAGGCCACAAAAAGAAAACCCAGATGTAATAGCACTCACAGAAATAAAACTATCAAGAATAGTAACCAATGCAGTGTTTCTGCAGGACTACTGTGTAGTAAGGAAAGAGAGGGAGGGAAGAGGAGGAGTGACTATCCTGATAAAGAAGGATTCGAGTTTCGAAGAGGTGGTCATCCTAGGCTGTGTAGGGTTCATAGATTACATAACAGACATTATGACAATGGGAATACCAAAGATAATATTAGTAGTAATATATAGCCCCCTTCCCTCCTTTAAATGACAAAAGATCAAGACAGAGAAGTATGATAGAAACAACATGGCAACGATTAATGTAATAGAGAGAAAAGCTTCTGTTGCTTGCAGGATGAAATTCAGACTGGTAATAATGGGTAACTTCAACCATGGAAAGATAGACTGAGAGAACATTGAACAACATGGAGGTACAGGCACACGGAAAGCTAAAATACTAAATGTGGCAACATAGAATTTTCAAAGTCAACCTGTCAAGGGACCCACAAGAATGAGAGGAAATGACGAACCAGCCAGACTTACTCTGATATTTACCCTGAACGAGTCAGACATAGGGAAGTTAAATTAGAACCCCCCACGGGAATGAGTGTACTGATATTTGAGTATCTGATGGAAATAGGAATATCCTACCCAAGGAAAGGGCTAAAAAGCATAGGGCAGATATACCTGAGGGGAACTATGATGGGATGAAAAAATTCCTAATAAGAATACTATGGAAAACAGAACTAGAGACAAGACATGATAAGAGTACATCACCCAGAAGTGTCAGGAGACAGAAGACAAGTTTATTCCAGCAAAAAAAAAATGAAAAGCAGAAGGAAAATTCATGGTTCACACATGTATGTAAGGAAGCAAGGCAACTAAGTACAGGAGCATGGAGAAACCACGGAAATAATAGAACACCAGAGAGCAGAGGGAGATATCAGACGGCCAGAAATGAGTACCTCAGTGTGAGAAGGGAAGCAGACAGTATGAAAATGACATGCTCGAGATCAAGTCAAAGCCAAGATCAAATCAAGCCAAGACCAAACGAAAACCTGTCTACAGTCACATCGAGAGGAAAACAACAATGAAAGAACAGGTGACGAAACTGAGAAATGGAGAGAATGGGTACACTGATAAGGTGTGTGAAGAACTCAACTAGTGATAACAAGAGGTCTTCACAGTAGAGCAAGAGGAAATTCCTGAACGAAGAGAGGTGGCGCTAAACCAAGCAGCCCTTGGAAGATTTTGAAATTACCAAGAGATGAAGTTAGGAGGTATCTGCTAGAACTGGACATGACTAAGGTTTTTGGAACTTATATATTCTCACCATGGGTACCAAAAGGTGATGGTATCTCTCACCTTGTGTACATGCAAGGTGATGGAGAAGATCGCGAGAAAAAAAAGCTTGTAGCACATTTGGAGAGAAGGGACTTTGTAACACCACCAATATGGGTTCAGGAAAGGTAAATCATGCCACGCAGGTTTAATAGAATTCTATGACCAAGTGACAAACATTAAGCAAGAAAGAGAAGAGTGGGCAGACTGCTTTTTCTTGGATTCTCAGAACGTTTTTCATGCAGTACCCCACAAGAGAATATTGCATAATTTGGAGAAACAGGCAGGAGTAGCAGGTAAAGTGTTCCAGTGAATAAGGGAGTACCTAAGAAACAGAAAACAGAGTTACGGTGAGGTGTGAGACCTCAGAAGGGCGGTTTCACAAGTGGATTCCCACAGGGTTCTGTACTCGGACCTATCCAATGTCTGATATAAGTAGACGATCTCCCAGTGTATAGTGCTAAAATTATGAGAAGGATTAAGAATGAGGGCAACAAGATACTACGAGATAACCTGGACGAACGGAAGAAGTGGTCTAACAAATGACTACCAGAGTTTAACTAAAGCAAGTGTAAAGTAATGAAAATATGTGTAGGGAGCAGGTGGCCGGACAAAAGGTACCAATCAGGAGATGAAATCCTTAAGGAATCAGGAAGAAAGATCTTAGGGTTGATATGACGCCGGACCTGTCCCCTGAAGCCCTCATCAAAAAGATATCAAGGCGGCATATGCAAGGCTGGCCAACATAAGAACTTCCTTTAGACCAATCCTGGAATATGCCACCAGACTAGTCCCCAAGCTGAGGTATACGTATGAGTTACGAGGAAACACTACTGGAATTGAATCTTACATTACTGGAAGACAGAAGAGTTAGGGGAGACATGATTACCACGTACAAAATTCTCAGAGGAATTAACAGGATAGATAAAGACAGACTATTTAGCATTGGTGGTACATGAACAAGGGGGGACACAGGTGGAACCTTAGTACCCAAATGCGCCTCAGAGACGTTAGAAAGAATTTGTTTACTGTCAGAATAGTTAACAAATGAATTAAGCACATTAAACATTTAAATTAGAATTAAAATGAATTAACAAACAGATTAAGCACTAGGAAGTGATGTGGTGGAGGCAGACTCCATGCACAGTTTTACATGTAGATGTGATAGAGCCCAATAGAGTCAAGAACCTGTACAACAGTTGACTGACAATTGAGAGGCGGGACCAAAGAGCCGTAGCTAAACCCTCGCAAACTCAACTAGGTGAGTACATCTTCCTGGCCACTGATGATCGAAGGCGACACCAACAACCATAAGATTACCGCACATGTTACCTTCTGATCAGACTATGATTATTTAATAAATCTAATCACAATTCCAACGCAACGAAGACACCCGCAAGTGCAACATTTCTCTTAGTAAACGTTCCTAAAGTTGAAACAGGGCATTTTACAAGCACGTGAGGAAGTACACAAGTTCTGTTGTAGGAATTAACCCAGAGCTCAGGCTGGACGAAGTTACCTTCGAGTTGACCCACGGGAGGTAGACGGCTGTGAGGAAGAGGCCGATGAGAGGGCCGGAGAGGGCGCCGTTGATAGCGAAGAGAGCCCTCAGGAAGGACCAGCCCAGCTGCGACACCGCCAGGCCCAGGATGATCCCCAGCACTCCCGCCGAAAACACTGCGAGTAGAGACATTATACATCATTCAAGGTAACGTAAGGTTAATCAGGGAGGGGGAGGGAAGCAGTAAGTCAATATTGCTATTACTATTACTTGTAAGGGATATGAGGACAGATTATGAGCTGGGATATGAGGACAGATTATGAGCTGGGATATGAGGACAGATTAAGAGCTGGAATATGAGGACAGATTAAGAGCTGGGATATGAGGACAGATTAAGAGCTGGGATATGATGATAGATTAAGAGCTGGGATATGAGGACAGATTAAGAGCTGGGATATGAGGACAGATTAAGAGCTGGGCTATGAGGACAGATTAAGAGCTGGGATATGAGGACAGAGTGAAGTCCGTCACTTTACCGACTAGTCCCAGCAGCTATATATATATATATATATATATATATATATATATATATATATATATATATATATATATATATATATATATATATATATATATATATACATATATATATATATATATATATATATATATATATATATATATATATATATATATATATATATATATATATATATATATATATATATATATATATATATATATATATATATATATATATATATATATATATATATGAGGCGTTACAAGCCACTATATTTGAGGACTTGACACTTGTGGATACAATATATCAATAATATACAGTTAAAAGACAACTGTTACCGGGAAAGACAATTACAGACCTAGCACCTTCTGTAGTCCGCCAACTTTGACTTCACTCCAGTTTGCGAAAATTGGCATGACTTTGAGGAAGTCCTCCCACAGCAGAGCCGTCATGGAGTTGAGCTGTGTTGACACCGAACTGTTGGGGCAAGAATGGCAGTGTAATACGGCTCTGAAGATCATATTAGTTGCAATTTAGCACAAAGAGTAATGGGGGGTTCGATTCCCGTCGGGTCTCTGATCCCCTTTACCATAGCCTCTTAAAGAGGCCTCACCCAGTTAATGCGCTACTATGGCTGGATAATTATACATATACATACAATAGCCACACATTGTAATTAATATTTGTATATATCACACACACAATATACATAAACGGGAAATAAGACATTAGATATGTCTGCCATCTTAGCGTTATCCAAAAGCCGCGGGGCTGTACACCATACCTGAGGACGGCGGCGTAGATGGCGGCAACGAAGAGTCCCGTCAGACCGGGGATCTGCGTCAGGACCTTGAGGACATACGTGACCACGACGATGGAGGGGTCCCTATGGCTGCCCGGGGCGGTGAGGGGGTCGCAGTCCTTGAAGTAGACGAACATGACCAGGCCGGACAGGTGGATCAAGGCCCGCAGCAAGACCATCCCCATGGCGGCGTAGTACAACACCCTGTGATCAACACAACTACTTGATTTACCTGATTTACCTGAGGGCCACTAATCCTAGTGGATTACGGCTGGGACACACCAAACTGCCAGCACACAGCTCTAAATATAGAACAGACATCAACGAACTCTGCATCCACAGTCAGGTGCCAGCAACAATCGAAAACTATCTCCTTCACTGTTTCCGACATCACTGTGCCAGAGTAAACTTCAAACTAGTATATATATTGCACTTAAAATACCTTTTACCATCGAGCATATATTAGGAAGAGGTGACTTCTCCTTAAATGAAAAATATCAAATAGTCAAAGCACTGGTTAAATTTATCTCCAGTCGACCAACATTTGACCTGTGTCACATTTATACCTGGCGTCACCAGCAGCCAAACATATACAACATCTGCCTGGCCGCTCCACCAAGGGTCAGCTGACGCCATAAACACAACGTCCCGCCCTACAGTGCGGTAAGTCTCCCTCTTAACACACGCCTCTGTTTAGTCGCACCTCCTCTGTCTACACTATAACGCAACAAACACTTGAAACCTCGTTGACCAGACCATACACTAGAAGGTGTGGACGACGACGTTTCGGTCCGTCCCTTCACCTTCTAGTGTGTGGTCTAGTCAACATACTTTAGCCACGTTATTGTGATTCATCGCCTGCACTTGAAACCTGGTCATTCTCAACATTAATGCGTCTCCCAACATTTGTACTCGTGCAGTCATCGGGAGGATAAACCCTTCATGCAAACTGCATGTACCATCAAGAAGAGGAGAACCCTAGTGGTCTCGGTCTACGACAGGAAGCCGGCGGCTTGTCGAAGCTCCCCCCCCCCCGCACTCCATTTGCCTTGAAGATCTTTTCCAGGTATATTTTAAAACTCACCACAGTTTTGGCAGAAACGGCTTCGGCAGTTCCATGGATTAACCCTGCGCGTGAACAAGAATCTCATGTTCTCAGCCCTACATTGTGGCTTGCTGAGCTTGAAACCGTTGCAGTTTCTATAGGCTAGAGTTTCTATCCTCTAGAAACTAGAGGCTAGTCTAGTAGTAGACAAAAAGTAGACAAACAATAGACTAGCCTCAAGAAACTTTAGCAAGTAGACATTTAGTACATTGTAAATAACCTACGAAAGACCAGCAGTTGAGTATGCAGTGCCTGCATGGAACTCACATCTCTTGAAGCCTTAAAATATACTTTGGAAGGTCTAGAAATATGCAACTAACACCTAGGCATGAGGCAACAACTGCACAAGATGACAGAGATGAAGGACGGGCAGCTAGTGCATCACAACTCACTCCCGCATGCACAAGTAGGCGCGTGTTGAGCTCACTCCCAACCAGCAGACGTAGTTAAGTAGACAAATACACAGAGAAATGTCGTACCATTGCGCCTGCTGGACTGATCCGGTGCTGAAGTAGCGCTGAGTCTGACTCTGGTTGACGCCGTAGGTGCCCAGGGTGAAGAAGAAGCCCATGGTGATGCAGAGCCAGAAGCTGTGGCGCTGGTATGGGTCCAGGTTCCAGCTGCCGGCACAACACAAACATAGTAAGTCACTCTCTACTGTGACACACACACATACACGCGCTACATCACACACACATACACACGCTATATCACACCCACACACACGCTACATCACACACACACACACACGCTACATCTCACACACACACACACGCTACGTCACACACACACACACACACACGCTACATTACTGCCCCAACACACACTCTAAGTCTCACGCTAGTCGTAAGACACACTCTTCAGTACTTTCATGACTAGTGAAGTTCTCCTTCGTGTTCTTGAAAACGAGCAGCTAGTAATTATTGTGTTACGGTTGTTGTGACGCATTACTGGTTGTTGTGACGCATTACTGGTTGTTGTGACGCATTACTGGTTGTTGGGACGTATTACTGGTTGTTGAGACGTATTACTGGTTGTTGGGACGTATTACTGGTTGTTGTGACGTATTACTGGTTGTTGTGACGTATTACTGGTTGTTGGGACGTATTACTGGTTGTTGTGACGCATTACTGGTTGTTGGGACGTATTACTGGTTGTTGTGACGTATTACTGGTTGTTGGGACGTATTACTGGTTGTTGGGACGTATTACTGGTTGTTGTGACGTATTACTGGTTGTTGTGACGTATTACTGGTTGTTGGGACGTATTACTGGTTGTTGGGACGTATTACTGGTTGTTGGGACGTATTACTGGCTGTTGTGACGTATTACTGGTTGTTGTGACGTATTACTGGTTGTTGGGACGTATTACTGGTTGTTGTGACGTATTACTGGTTGTTGTGACGTATTACTGGTTGTTGGGACGTATTACTGGTTGTTGTGACGTATTACTGGTTGTTGGGACGTATTACTGGTTGTTGTGACGTATTACTGGTTGTTGTGACGTATTACTGGTTGTTGTGACGTATTACTGGTTGTTGTGACGTATTACTGGTTGTTGTGACGTATTACTGGTTGTTGTGACGTATTACTGGTTGTTGGGACGTATTACTGGTTGTTGGGACGTATTACTGGCTGTTGTGACGTATTACTGGTTGTTGTGACGTATTACTGGTTGTTGTTGGGACGTATTACTGGTTGTTGTGACGTATTACTGGTTGTTGGGACGTATTACTGGTTGTTGTGACGTATTACTGGTTGTTGGGACGTATTACTGGCTGTTGTGACGTATTACTGGCTGTTGTGACGTATTACTGGTTGTTGTTGGGACGTATTACTGGCTGTTGTGACGTGTTACTGGCTGTTGTTGTGACGTATTACTGGCTGTTGTGACGTATTACTGGTTGTTGGGACGTGTTACTGGCTGTTGTTGTGACGTATTACTGGCTGTTGTGACGTATTACTGGCTGTTGTGAGGTGTTACTGGTTGTTGTGACGCGTTACTGAGAGACTGGTTGTAAGTGTCATCGGATGTCACGAAAAAATTATGTAACTGAAGGAATATGCAGAGTTATTTTGTAGAGTAAAATGGGCGACACTGATATAATAATATAAATTATCAAGGGTAAAGCACTAAGCTAGTACGACTGTATACCATATGGCAGGGATAAGGGGGCAACGATCTGGGATAGGACTGAGGGAAGGATCGGTGCCCAACCACTCAGACCGTCGGGGATCGAACGCCGATCTGCAGTTTATATCATGGCGCAGTCGGTATTGTCTGTACCTGGCCAGTCCAGGAGTGAGTGTTCGACCACATCCATAACCTCAAGATTTTCTAAAATCCATTTATAGTTATTTATTTGCTGATTTATTTAATTAATCTGAGCTCTCTGCGGAGAAGTGAAATTCTTGGAGGAACCGATGAAGGTATTAACTTACTTGAAGAATTCGATCCTGTTCTCATGGTAGGCGATGTCCCAAACGTTGTCGATGCCGCCGAAGAAGACGGCGCCCTGGATGACGATGGCGAGAACTCCCGCCAACATTACCAGTGACTGTAACACGTCCGCGTACACCACTGCCTTCACGCCACCCTGAAGCACATAGTTTATTGTCTTCACACTCATGTTCAGGATGTAATTGATTGTTGCCGCCAGGGGCTGTTACTCTACTGTGCACCCCATACTCATCCTGTGAGCGGTAGCGCAGAAAAAGGATGACAGTGGGCACACAAGGTCTTTATCTGACCTTAACGGAGATCATTACATTAACAATTTCCTCTATCCTGAACACCTTACAATTATACAGTCAGCTAATAACAGTGATTACTGCCTTCCTGCCCCCGCACCCGCTCCTCTGTACATACACTGAGTTTAACTTAGTCTTGGACAATGTCTTCGACTGAATTATTCTTGCTGGTTAGTCAGTAGGCAATTGTGGTTGCCTTAATAACCATCCAGAAGCTAATAGGCCTTCCGCCCAACACCAAATCATCTCTCAAAACCCTACAACACACAAAATGCAGCACAATCACGTCACCACACTGGAGCTCAAACACGAAGAAAACTACGACTCACGAAAGCAGAGTAGAGGGTGCAGGTGGAGCCGATGATAACGATGTTTGAGATGATGGAGAGACCGGTGAAGGCCTGTAGGGCGATGGACGGTGGGTAGAGGAGGAACCCGATGAAGGTGTAGCCGCCCAGCAGCTGCAGCAGCACCGTCGCTTGCCGCAGCCAACGGGAATTGAACCGTCGCTCCACATACTGCAAGAAATATTAGGAGTCAATGTACAGATGTGTTCGGTGGTGGGGGTCAAGGGGGCTGTTACCTATGGTCAGTGGTTGCGGTAAGAGATGTATTAGTATGCAAATGCTATAGGTAAGGCGCCTCCTGTCCATGGTCAGTGGCTTAGAGACTGTTGTTGTTGTTGTTGTTTTAGATTTAGCTACTCAGAACGAAATGTCCTTGTAGCACGGTCTATAGTGAGCCCGTAATTGAGTTTTTTTCGCGATACTCTTGTTACTGTGATATTTGGGTCAAAATTTTAAATGGAGGTGGGGTTGTCTCCCGTTTCTTTTCCACTTCAGTTTAGCTCACTGGTCTTGTTTTAATAATCCGCCAAATCTTGGTGGCGGATATAGATGCACAATGTTCACTAGTGTGTCCCATTCTTCAACTGCTTTTCTAATCATTGAAGTCGCTGTGGAATTTGCATCTAATGCAGCTGCTCTTGTTGGAATAATGTTGAGTTTGAAGCTACTAATGTTGAGCTACTGAAGCGCAGGGCTTCAGTAGCTTCACATTCCAGTAAGTAATGCAATAGTGGAGCCTCTGCTTCTGTTCCAGAGATATGACACTGTTTAACTATTGGGTTTATTACCTCCCAGCAGCACTTGTAACCAAGTCTGAGTCTGTGTATGGCTGCTGCAATGTCTCTGGAACTTTGGGACGGACATTGTTTTATTTAAGTAGCATTATTTGAGTCAAGTGGTAGGGTGAGGGGACCGTTGTGTGTGGTAGTCACCACCACACACACACATGCACATTAAACAAGTGTTGTCCGCAGCCACTGACTCACTAAAGAATGATATAGTCTGTCATGGAGCTGCAGTAGTTCGATTAACATATATATACACACAAATGGGCAAGATCAAACAGGTAGAACACAAATGGTACAAATAGGCAAGAACAAGTCGATTATAGAGAAGAGACTGGCAAGAACAGAAGTAGAGGGGCCACTAACCTGGTAGAGAGAGACCATGTGTAGCGGGTACATGATGGGGATGAAGACCTTAGCGACGATGACGAGGCCCAGGACGATGCCCAAGTCCATGACCCAGAGTTGGGTGCCGTAGGCGTACATCTCGCCAGCGTTGCCCATGATGGTGATGGCGGATATGGTGCCCACCATCATGCTCAGCGCCAGGGGCAAGGGCTTCATCGACCGCCCTCCCAGGAGGTACTCCAGGGGCGTGGATTTAAGGCCCTTAACCCCGTAGTAGATACCGATAGCGGCGCTGGCCACCACCGACAGCGCCAGCAGCACGATGTCCAGGATCCCAAGGGCCATGCTGATAGTCTTTAGGGGCTTTTATCCGAGAAAATTTGGCTCCTTGAAGCTCTTTCCCAAGAAGGTTTAACTTCTTAAAGGTCTTACACAAGAATGTTTGGCCTCTTGGTGGACGGAGAGAGAACAAGTGACAGTCACCAAAGACGGTATCCTCCCTGATAATGTTCTTCGTGTAGTGCGTAGATCACTGCACGCGTCCCCCGCTGGCTCTACTGAGGCTGGCGATGATGGACGGTACTCACAGGAGTGACGGTACTCACAGGAGTGACGGTACTCACAGGAGTGACGGTACTCACAGGAGTGACGGTACTCACACCACTCTCACACCTCCCGATCACTAGGCTCCTCCTTGGCTGGTTCCTGACCTGAAAATAAAAATTAATCGTTAGTTTCTATATTTTACATAAAGTAAAAACATACTCTTCATATTTTTGTTCTTGCTGATTAAAGAGAAATAATGCAAAAAATATACTTTAGTATAGCATTTGCTGATAGCTGAGTGGGCAGCGCTTCGGATTCGTAGTCCTGAGGATCCGGGTTCGATCACCCGGTGGAGGCGGAAACAAATGGACATAGTTTCTTTCACCCTTATGCCTCTGTTGCCTAGCAGTATATAGGTACCTGGGAATTAGACAGCTGCTACGGGCTGCTTCCTGGGGGCGTGTGTAACAAAAAAAGGAGTCCTGGTCGAGGACCGGGCCGCGGGGACGTTAAGCCCCGAAATCATCTCAAGATACCCCCCCCTCAAGATAGATTGCCGTAAAAACTTTGAGGAAATACTTAAGGAGCAGTGTTACTGCCCCTAGATTTGACTATTGCTAGTCCGCATTACAAACACCTTATCTCATTCACTACTGAGAGAAATACCAATTCTTCTAAAGACACTCTTCCCACCGGTTCCTACCCAGGCCAGGGAGGAGGACTGGTTGGGCGCCAATTCATAAATAGAAATAGAAATAGAAATAAAAATAAGTTTATTGAGGTAAAATACACACAAAGGGATGAGGTAGCTCAAGCTATTCTCACCCCGTTCAGTACATCGTGTTAATACATACATAGACACACATCACAAACAATAAACATATTACCAAACATTCTGAGTAATTCACAAATGTTCGCACCAGTTCACCCAGCAGTAATTGAGTACACCTGGTTGTCAAGTGACAGGCAGGGGGCTGTGTTCTAGACATAAGTAGTAGGTTAAGCTTACCATGAGCTTTGGGAAGGGAGCGCTCTATGTACTCACCTAATTGTACTCACCTAATTGTGCTTGCGGGGGTTGAGCTTTGGCTCTTTGGTCCCGCCTCTCAACTGTCAATCAACTGGTGTACAGATTCCTGAGCCTACTGGGCTCTATCATATCTACATTTGAAACTGTGTATGGAGTCAGCCTCCACCACATCACTTCCTAATGCATTCCATTTATTAACTACTCTGACACTGAAAAAATTCTTTGGATCGTCGACCAGGTCTGAGGTGACAGGTGGGGGGAGGCCGTCTCTTCCTGTACCCGCCTGGGTAACACAGGTATACACTAACTCTGAAAGTTTACTCTGGTCTTGAACTGTGTTTAGGACTACTGTAAACTTACTGGCTGCTCACTAAGGTAAATGTGGATGTTATTGATTTGGTTCATTTATTATTATTATTATGCAGTTATAGTGGTATATAATAGCCTTAGAAACTTTTGCTAAACAAGGGAAAGGGAAGGGAAGGGAAGGGAAGGGAAGGGGAGGGGAGGGGAGGGAAGGGGAGGTAAGGGAAGGGGAGGGAAGGGGAGGGAAGGGAAGGGAAGGGAAGGTAAGGTAAGGGAAGGGGAGGGAAGGGGAGGGAAGGGAAGGGAAGGGAAGGGAAGGGAAGGGAAGGGAAGGGAAGGGAAGGGAAGGGAAGGGAGAGGAAGGGAAGAAAGATATACTGTCGTGATAAGCTAGTTATCATCGGTTTCTGTAAGTGTGTGTCTCCTTACGTTAGTTAGTATGTGTCTATGCGTTAGTTAGTATGTGTCATGTGTTCAGTGCTAGTTAGTATGTGTATATTGCCACTGTACCTAGTATGTGTCTATTGTTATTTAGTATGTGTGTCAACACTGCTAGCTAGTGTCTATCGCTAGTTCGTATGTGACTATTACGAGTTCCAGTGTTTCAGTTACTAGTTAGTATGTGTCTATCACTATTACTAGCACATATGATGTGAACACTACTACCACAAACTAAATAGATTTCTCTCACACAGGGAGCCGGTCGGCCGAGCGGACAGCACGCTGGACTTGTGATCCTGTGGTCCGGGGTTCGATCCCGGGCGCCGGCGAGAAACAATGGGCAGAGATTCTTTCACCTTATGCCCCTCTTACCTAGCAGTAAAATAGGTACCTGGGTGTTAGTCAGCTGTCACGGGCTGCTTCCTGGGGGTGGAGGCCTGGTCGAGGACCGGGCCGCGGGGACACTAAAGCCCCGAAATCATCTCAAGATAACGTTCAGACGAAATTATTTCACATAGCCTAAAATCTGAAAACCCGGGGGGGGGGGGGGAATCCAGATAATTGAAAAATCTTCGCATTAAATTGTTCAGAAATGATTATTCTATCTGAAAATTGTATTAAGTAACGACTGATGTATTACTGATGTATTTTACGTCATTCCACGTCAACATTATTTATATACAAGCTGTAGGATCGAGTTTTGTCTTGAGGGGGTAAGCTTGTTGCTGTTGTATAATCTGGATTGTTCTAGCTTTTGAATGTCCCATTAAGTTCGTTTCCCCTTAATTATTCAACTACTGCCTCTCCGCCTTACTCCTTCATAAAGCCGGGAGATGACACTCCTGCCTGTGACTTATCACTTAGTTGCGCCTGGCCTCTCTACACAGCTTATTTCTTACCTAATGTATTATATTCAATAAACAAAAATTTGACCTTAAAAAATATTGTGAGCACCGTAAGTTAGTTCTCAAAGAAAACGGGAAATGATAATTTCTGTCTCATTTATAAATGAGACAGAATTTAAATTTATATTTGTTGTCTTTGGGAGTTTGGCCACCTGTCTTACACCTAGTTACGTTCACCAGGTGACCACTGAGCAGGTAACCAGGCCGCTGGACACCCCCCCCCCATACACCAGCTGCTTGACAGATGAGAGGCGGGACCAAAGAGCCAGAGCTCAAACCCCGCAAAACACAACCAGGTGAGTCCACAGGTAACCACCGCCCGAGTCACTAACACACTTACCTAGACTCACACGAATCCTGCATCCGAGCAGAGAAGTGCTTAAACAACGATCAAATGTTCAACCTTCCCACCAACATCAGCGCACGGGAGAATGAACGTTGACCAGAGGAATCTTTAACACGGTGGAGGCCACAGCGCCAGGCCCCCAGAGAGACAGACTGGCGGTTTAGCACGGTAAGAGACACTTACAGAGAGACACGTTAAGGTGTCTTACCACTGGACGCTGGGTAAGACACACAGGCAAAGGAAGTCCCGCTGATAACACCGGGCCTCGCTTCTACACCTTCAGCCAGCTCTCTCTGGCTCGTAATCTATGCTCTGTAATCACTCATATACACTAGGGTAGCAGAACACTTCTGCGCGTACCGAAGTTTCGTAAAAACATATATATGCTCTTTATAGCAGTTGTATTACGATATTTGATAATTATTTTGAGTTAAAATTCTTGCTTAGAGATGATGTTAATGATAATTCGAACAAGCGAGGTCTGGAGATGCCGGGATACTGAGATGAGCTTCAGAGGTGCTGGGAGATTACTTCAACTGTATGTAAGAATACAGAGAAAACAGGATAATGCGTCAAACGTTTCACGTATTATCTTTCTCATGCAGAAGCGCGCGCACACGCACACACACACACACACGCACACATAGGGGGGCCTCGTAGCCTGGTGGATAGCGCGCAGGATTCGTAATTCTGTGGCGCGGGTTCGATTCCCGCACGAGGCAGAAACAAATGGGCAAAGTTTCTCTCACCCTGAATGCCCCTGTTACCTAGCAGTAAATAGGTACCTGGGAGTTAGTCAGCTGTCACGGGCTGCTTCCTGGGGTGTGTGTGTGTGTGGTGTGGGGGGAAAAAAAAAAGTAGTTAGTAAACAGTTGATTGACAGTTGAGAGGCGGGCCGAAAGAGCAGAGCTCAACCCCCGTAAAAACACAACTAGTAAACACACGCACACGCACACACACACACACACACACACACATACACACACACACACACACACACACACACACACACACACACACACACACACACACACACACACACACACACACACACACACAGGACCGAATGCTTCATAAGGCCGAATCCACTTGGGCTGGACGGTAGAGCGACGGTCTTGCTTCATGCAGGTCGACGTTCAATCCCCGACTGTCCAAGTGGTTGGGGCACCATTCCTTTCCCCCGTCCCATTCCAAATCCTTAACCTGACCCCTTCCAAGTGCTATATAGTCGTAATAGCTTGGCGCTTCCACCTAATAATTCCTTCCTTGCTTCAAAAGATCGAATCCTAAAGTTACTGTCACTCAGGCTAGCCAACACGAGGCGTCTCCCCAGGGCCAGGGAGTGAGGCGCCAAGCCTACACACCTGCGCAGTCTTGGGTCACTCCAGCCCCTCACAAGTGCCTCCCTGAGTGCCTCCAGCGCCACTCAACGTAAACAATTAACCAAACACAAATATTTACAATCAGCGCCGTTTGGGCGGTCGAGTGATCTCTATCGTATAGTGTGAACGTCAGGGTGAGAGTTACAGTGTGAACGTCAAGGTGAGAGTTACAGTGTGAACGTCAGGGTGAGAGTTACAGTGTGAACGTCAGGGTGAGAGTTACAGTGTGAACGTCAGGGTGAGAGTTACAGTGTGAACGTCAGGGTGAGAGTTACAGTGTGAACGTCAGGGTGAGAGTTACAGTGTGAACGTCAGGGTGAGAGTTACAGTGTGAACGTCAGGGTGAGTTACAGTGTGAACGTCAGGGTGAGAGTTACAGTGTGAACGTCAGGGTGAGAGTTACAGTGTGAACGTCAGGGTGAGTTACAGTGTGAACGTCAGGGTGAGTTACAGTGTGAACGTCAGGGTGAGAGTTACAGTGTGAACGTCAGGGTGAGAGTTACAGTGTGAACGTCAGGGTGAGAGTTACAGTGTGAACGTCAGGGTGAGAGTTACAGTGTGAACGTCAGGGTGAGAGTTACAGTGTGAACGTCAGGGTGAGAGTTACAGTGTGAACGTCAGGGTGAGAGTTACAGTATGAACGTCAGGGTGAGAGTTACAGTGTGAACGTCAGGGTGAGAGTTACAGTGTGAACGTCAGGGTGAGAGTTAGTGTGTGAACGTCAGGGTGAGAGTTAGTGTGAACGTCAGGGTGAGAGTTACAGTGTGAACGTCAGGGTGAGAGTTACAGTGTGAACGTCAGGGTGAGAGTTACAGTGTGAACGTCAGGGTGAGAGTTAGTGTGAACGTCAGGGTGAGAGTTACAGTGTGAACGTCAGGGTGAGAGTTACAGTGTGAACGTCAGGGTGAGAGTTACAGTGTGAACGTCAGGGTGAGAGTTACAGTGTGAACGTCAGGGTGAGAGTTACAGTGTGAACGTCAGGGTGAGAGTTACAGTGTGAACGTCAGGGTGAGAGTTACAGTGTGAACGTCAGGGTGAGAGTTACAGTGTGAACGTCAGGGTGAGAGTTACAGTGTGAACGTCAGGGTGAGAGTTACAGTGTGAACGTCAGGGTGAGAGTTACAGTGTGAACGTCAGGGTGAGAGTTACAGTGTGAACGTCAAGGTGAGAGTTACAGTGTGAACGTCAGGGTGAGAGTTACAGTGTGAACGTCAAGTTGTACTTGAACTCATAGGAGGAGTTAGGAGCCGGTGGCTGAGCGGACAGAACACTGGGCGCGTGATCCTGTGGTCCCGGGTTCGATCCCGGGCGCCGGAGACAAAACTATGGGCAGAGTTTCTTTCACCCTAATACCCCTGTTATCTAGCAGTAAATAGGTACCTGGGAATTAGTCAGCTGTCACAGGCTGCTTCATGGGGGGTGGAGGCCTTCCTCTCTGGAAGTACCATTAAGTAATGACTATTAGGTAATAACATTTGTATACACAATATATATACTGATTTACAAAATAATTTTGTTTAATACAATAATACTTTATAGTCCGTGGACACATGTACAGATTTATACATTTTTCATCAAAATTCAAATAAAATAAAAAGAAAATTAGCATAATTATTGAGTAACGAGTTGAGTTTGTATTTATGAGAGACAAAAGTTATATTTTATTAGTGAAAGTGTAGCATTGTGATTTTCAGACTCAACAAGGAATATATGCAAATTGTCACCAAAACCAAATGTTTGCTTCCTAATTTGTTGATTAGTGTCGCTAAATCACGCCATCTGTCAAACACCACACGGACACCTGGTGGTGGTGGAGCCAGAGTTCCACAGGTGGTGTCGGAAAATCCGACACCATTTAATATATCATACAGACAGATAATAATTTCTGCTGTATTACCAACAAGTTACCCATAGAAAACGTAACTTGTAGTGGAATTACCGTCTATAGAAAACGGGATAACATCACCACATACTATTATAATTCACCAGCTATTCTGCTGGGAATTATTCTTAAATACATTAGTCTTTGGACTTTACCATCATAAAAACATCTTATATAAATTAACTTAATTATCAATATTAAAGTAGAGTAAATGTGACCCTTCTATCACTTTCTGACATGTGGACAATGTAAGCCAGGCGTGAGAGTGAGGAAGGAGGGGAGCCATTGTTGTGTCACCTCCGAGACGTGTGGAGCAAATTTGGCTCCTATCATATCTGGACAATGTCGGCCAGGCGTCAATAGTATGGAGTGTTAGATGCAGCCATTGTTGAGACTAGACCAGAGGCTCACACGGGAGCAAATTCGGCTCCTGTTAATTTACTTGGACGTAGTGTTATGGAAACCAGAAGTGTACCATTATCAACACGCTGTCTACAAATCAAGTTAAGTGTTCTTTCCGAAACCCATTATCTATCATTAGTGGCCATTAATGTCATTATATAGGGTGACCCGGTTAGAGCACGTGGAAGCCTCAAACTAAAGGTAATTAAGCCAGGTCTTCAATGTTCCATGTACAGTTTTCTCTGATATAGCTTGTCATATATAGGTATCTGGCTTCACAGCTAGCGCCCTTTTGACAGGTCAAGACGAGGAGGAAGATTTTGTGCACCAGTTACTGGGTGATGGAATCTACCTCAAAGAGGATAATTTGGTGTCTACACCCTAGTTATACCTGGTGGACTAACCTGCTGTACTATAAGATAAGGAACCTCTTCAATGTATGTAGTTAATACTGTAGTTTGATTGGCTGCATATATATATAATTTAATTAAACCCCCCTAATGTGTAGAGGATCGATTTGTGAGATTATGAGATTATTGCAGAAATACAGTCCACTTATCATTATACAAATTGCTATCGAAGTATATAAATTAACGTAAATATAAATTCTATATATATATTCATATAAATTAAATAAATATAAATCTCACAGGTCGGTACCCACATTATTTGGTCCTTCGAACCGGATGACGGATTATTTGATCCTTTGAACCCACATTATTTGGTCATCTTCGAACCGGATGACGGATTATTTGATCCTTTGAACCCACATTTGGTCATCTTAGTACCGGATGAACCAGTTATCCAGTGGATTCATTAAATATACTAGTGCAGTGTTATTTAAACAAAGCCAGCAGTCAAGACGGCAGCGTAGCCTCGAGGGAGCTCAGGAGCCCCCCCTCAGCCGAGTTCAGCTTCGTCAGCGGTTTCATGCACACCCACAGATATTTGGTGGCGTGTTATTTCGTGAAATGACAGCGCTAATATAGAAGCCAGCCAAATTAGTGGCTGTGTCCTCGCAAGATTGTTCACGGATTTCGTGGTGTTACATTTCGCGAGAGATTATCTACGAATTTTGTGGAGTTTATTTCGCGAGGTCACTAATAATATTTAATACTTCTAGATAATATTAGAAGTTTCATAGAGGCTAATTAAGAGGCTATTATCAATAATTGTGTATATTATTTCTCCAAAATAGAGAATTATTTAATATATATTGCACTAGTGATCACAGTATAATATTTACTAATTGCCAACCCACAACAGGGTAGGATATTAACCATTGACTAGTTGAACTATTATCGTTCATCCTAGTCCCATTATTACCATAGTCAGTTGTACTATATTGATCAACCTAACACCATTAATGAATGGTCCAGACCCTATTTTGGGTGTAATTTTTATCAACTCGAGTTGAGTTGTATATATAATAATTTACTTATGATCATTACACCTTTGAGTGATTAATTAGTGTCTCTTCCATCCTAGGGTGATATAGAGGAGCTAACCTAAAGGTACTTCCAGTGACACTGGTTTATCACTCAAATCATTAGTGTGTATGATTGTATATATATAATGTGTATTAATTTTAAGTGCTAACCTCTAGTAGAGGTAGGATTATTGCCTAGTGAGTGCAGAATTTACCCTAGGCTACCATTAGAGCTTGTTCAGTATTATGAGCAGCCCAAGTACAAGTCCCACAAGGCTTTACCAACTAGCCAGTATGGATAATGCAGGGAGAATGAAAAGAACCCTTGCAGGTCTTAAAGGCCACTTAACAAGACAGATCAAGAAATGTGAAGAT